CGTCTATATCAGTACCACTGATAATTATATGGGTCATGTTGTACAAAAGAACTATAAAATTAAAACAACCGAATACATGGAAGTAATAATCAGTCCTTTGTACCTTAACAATAACTTCCGTTTTGCGGCAAAGCACGTGATCAATCTAACTTACTTATCTCGCGTTCAGCGGGTCGCCAGCTGATAGAGGCAAAAGGTAATCGCGCGTGTTTCTAGCGTGTTTCGCGTTCGTCGCGCAAAAGAGAGTGCCATGATCCCAGCCTCCAACACGCCTCCCAAGGTTAACCTTACAATTTTATTTCTTTGAAATTCAACTGAATCAGAAGAATCAAAATGTTTCAAGAGTGTACAAAAAATCTCGATTTGTTTAAGTTTTGTTTTATCCAGAGCGATTTCCAGAGCCGCGCCAATGCAGGGCAAAAATTCCCTCTAGTCGGAAAGTTCCGATGCTTGTAACTAAACTCGTTATTCCACGCTGACGGGATGAAAGTCAATTTTATTTTTAAGTTTTCAGTAGTTTGTTGAATGAAAACAATTTCTTGTGGTTCGTAGAAAAGGTGCTGATCACATACCACTTTATGGCAGAACACTCTCAATTCGTGCGCCGACTTGAGATCGTGATTGTGATCGAACCAGTTTTGCAGGTTTTGTAGCTGTTTTGCACACGAAAACATTGCCGTCTCACCGTTTTACCACCCGTCCTTAACACTAATTGTTTTTCCACATAGACAATACCCTAACCACGTGGTACTCCACGAGGTCCTTGTAGCCCTTAAGGCACAAAACACTACAGTAGGGTGGCTTGCTGGTTTTACATAGTCACGCATTGATTACCAGCCGCTGTTCGGGAAAGGAACCTGGGCTCCAGCCCCGAAGTCTATTTTCGAGGAGGAACGTAGCCGGACTCGAGAGAGTGGCGGAAATCGAGTCTGGCATATGAGTCGGGCGGCTGATGATATACTTGGGAAGTGCACCTCGGCGCGAAGACTGGATTGCAGGAGTTTGTGACCTTATGTTTTTCTCTGGGGCAGGGCGGGTTCTTGCCAGTTTTCACCCAGTGTTTTGCCAAGCTTGTCAACAATTGGTGGAATCGAAGTGTCTTGTCGTGCATTTATCCAGTCGCCGATTCAAGCCTTTACATGTAACTCTATCACAAGGGAATGGTAGAGTTTAGTATTTTTTTAGTCTTCCTTTCAATTCCTCAGCTCCGTTCATTCCATCTTAATCGGTCTTTATTTCACTTGGCAAAATTTTTGTGCTAGCTGATTTTTAAATTTAACCCTTAATCGGAGAGCAAAACAAATATTTTTTCAACATTGGACGCTATATACTTTATTGTTTGCTCCGGTAGTAATAACATCAATCAAGTAGTTCAATCATAGTTCGTTCAATCATTGGTTTTGAAGTCTTGAATGCTTTTCAAATTTAGCTGATAACCGGATCTGAGCGACCAGTGGGCCTAACTAAACTACCGCTACCTCGGAGAAAAAAAAATGCTATAGTAAGCTGCAATCACTATATTTAAATCATTACCAATTACGTTCCTTAGCGCAAGCCCCGACAAGTCTCTTGATGCATATGTCTCGGTTAACCTCTTTGAATGAACCTTGACTGAGCTCTTTTCTAGGTGTCATTCTTACAAAGGTTATCCTCGGTTTTGTTAGTAAAAATATGTAAAGGTTTTGGGCAATTCAATTATGATTCAAGTACCATACGATAAAAACACTTCAAGACCCCCCACAGTGAAAAGAATGATTGCCAAATTAAGGATGGATGGATGGATAACGAGCTATAACGGAAACAGGGTATCACTGATGCACTTAAAATGAGTTATTACGTGTGGAAGTTGATATCTTTGTTGCTGGTGTTGTTTTGTATTAAATCCAGATTTTCTTTAGAAAAACACGCATTTAAAACCCTGATAAAATGCCTTTAATCAGTTAGACTGCTGGCAGTCTGTTTTTGTCTCGAAATTTCAGCTGGGGTTATCCAACATTGAATTGAACCTGCGCATCTGTTTCCGGATCCACTGCGCTTCCTCCAGCCTGTTCTTCCTTGTCGTCCTGTTTCTCTGCAGTGTCCTTATCGCTACTCCCATCGGCTTCAGTCCCCATATTTGCGTTCTTCCGCTTTCTTCCGCCCCTTTGCGTTCGCGATGACTAAACACTGTCTAAGTGACCCTTAGAGAAAAAACCAGCTGCCAGCAGACTATTAATCAGTCTGCTACGATCTCGACGTAAGGTGCGAAAGCATTTCGTGCGGAAGTTTGCGTAAAATATCATGAAGTGAATTGTTTTTGCTACCTGTATCTTGCTTTCGTTATTCGTGGGAAAATCACAAAACTAAAACCCACAGGAGTCGGTATGCATGTCACATGTGGTTTCTGCACCTTGCAATCATGAGTAACCATTTGCGTCCACCTCCGTTTGAAGATTTTGGGTTGGTCCCTCGGCGGTTTGTCGAGAAGTTGACTTCTTTTTTTCGCTTCGTTTATCTCCGTTGAATCTCAAGAGCTGCTCATACTATCTTATCACAAGACTTGAATTTGCTTAATGTGATAAACATGAAATCGCTTTTATTTATCCACGAAATACAATACTGAGGAATGAAAAGGGGATGTTCGGCATCCTGGTTCACTATGGTTATCATATCATGCTAGTCAGGTCTCAATTTTTGTTGAGTGTTTTAATTTAATTGGCTGGTAAACACTTACAGATAAACAAGTAAACAATCAAATAAACAAATAAATAATTTCTTTGGAGGGGGGGCTAGAAAGTTTTGGCTGTTTCTAATCGTGCTGTGTGATAAATTTGATATTCTCCAATATCTATTGCTGTTTCAAGTATTATTACTTTTTTCCGGGGGACAGGGAAGGGACAAGTAAGAGGGCCAACGTGGATGCTGTGGGAACGTACGCACTGGCTTTTGGCCGGTTTCGGGTGCCTCGTAAAACATACCATGTGGAGCTCATGACGTTCAACTAAACTGACTGTCTTGTGGCTCATTACTGGTGGAGTCAATCTGTGATCTGGCTCGCTGCTGAGGTGAACAGGCGAATGGCTGACTAAGGACAAGTTTGCTAAGGATTATCATATACCTCGATACAGAAAATCAAGAAAATATATGAGCTCTCTCACTGGTACTGAACCTGCATGTATTCAGGAGGTCCAGTTCAAATTAACGTTAGTTGACCTGGGTTAATTGCGATCCTACAGCGACGCGGTGATCACTGAGGAAGGCAAAATAATGACGGCGAAAAAATTACGGTTATTGAAGGGAAAGTCTTTTTTCGCCGTGTTAAAACAATAATTTTAAGACAGTAGTTGTGGTTAGTCTCGTCTAATTGTCCATTCTCTGCGTCCCACGTCTTACTCTTTGTTTGACTCCATAAATTGATCCTTAGGGACTCATCCCTCATGACAAATAATATTGAGAGTGATTAGCCTGCCCGCAGGGTTCGAATATCTATCAGTGCTTGACTGCACTCTTCACTTAATAGCTTTGAGTTTCACCTCTCTTTTGTCGCGACTTACAAACAAACTGAAACGAGACGAAGTCACCCGAAACGGTCTGAGGGAAAATTGCACTCGAGCCAACAAAACATACACTTTTTCTACGGTTTTAAGCTAAAGCGGACCTTTTTTTTTTATCCCATCTGTGTTCGATGAGCTCAGCGACTGGAGGCCTCATGCGGAGTAAATTCTTTTTAAAATGCCTAAAGAAACATTCACGTGCAATTTTTGAATTTTTTTGCCTCGCACGATTGCGTTTGAATACCTACCAAATTGTTTTCGTTCGCCTATTAATTCCATCCAGTGACAGACTCTGCAAGAGAAAATGAGGGACAGGTCCCTCAGGTTATGAATTGCAGTCCCTTCGCATACTCGCGCTCTATTTGCGTGACAAACGCGTCTCGCGCGTGTGGTCAAAGGTGAACAAGGGCTGATTGACCCGTTCATATTTTTCGCGATCTTTCGGGAACAACAGATAATAATAGAGTGATCCAATCTGCTGAGGCTTGTAATAGTATAGTAGAAGATAACGCGCACATGATCCAAAAAATCTTTGAAATTAATAAACAAACAACTCGCACACAACTGAAGGTCATAAAAGAAGTGGTTGTTAAAGTCTCACATCGCTAAATAAGCAAATTGCAAAACACCAATCAATGCACAGGAATTTGGTCTTCGCAATCATCACCAGGATTTCTTCAGGACCTGACAACCTCATTAGCTATATGGAATATTGTAAACCGAATGTAAAACACAGAAATAGGATATTGATGAAAAGAGAAGACGAGGGGCGGGTCAAAATATTCTTAAGCCTTGATATTCTTGATTGCATGTGACCACCTCAATAGCCAGCGCCGCAAAGGACTTCCTGGATGCTTCCATTTTAGAATCATTTTATTTACGTGTTAAATAAAGGAAAATGCTTGAATCAGATCGATATCTGCTGCAATAAAAGCTAATAAAATCTGGAAATTCAAGATAAACATTCCTTTTCTGGACTATACCTTGGAGTTAATTTTTTTCCTCTTTTTTTTTCGGAAATATAAACGTCCATCGTGGTTTATATAATGCACAAGATATATGCGTAAAGCATTATTATTATTTTTTTTTTGCAATCGCAATTTTGCTGCATATATCGGAAATTCACCAAGTGGATTTAATCTGGTGGTTTTGGTGTTTTGAGGTTTTGATGTTTTGAGCCCTCAAATAAATTTCCAAATATTTTGCTATAAACATCGCAGTGTCTTAATTTAGTAAAGTAAGTTGAAATTGATCTGCTTTTTCGAGTCAGTTTAAGAAACACTGGGTAAGTAATCGCATTATCTCCATAAAGCGCGATTTTTCAGCCAAAAAGTCTTCGTGCGTGTTTGGAAATTTTCCTGCGCGCGATCTAATGATCGTGACCACGTGCCCTTATTCTAGCCAATGAAATTAGTTTACTTTCTGTTTCCCAGTGTAACGCATGAGCAGTGAATATTCCCGACTTTTCTGCGCGTGCTTTGGGCGTTTTACGAAGGTGTGATCGCCATTCAGAAAACGCTTCTTTCTCGGTTTGGCCTCTCAACCTAAGCCGTATTTGCCAACATGTCGACAGGGAAGGCTAACAAACCGCTCATCGATGGCAAAGCGAGGAGATTTAGCGCCCCTTCGAGAGGCAGAGCGGTGCGAAGGCCGGAAGATGTTGTTCGCGATGTCCGTGGTCTGAAGCTTCGACAGCGTGTCTCTCTTGTTCTGAATGACAAAGTTCTTCGCGATGAACTGGAAGACCTTGTTCAAACCTATGTTCAGAATGGGCCTAAATCCAGCGGCGAAGGCGTTCGTACTTATCAAGATTTTCTCATTCCCTCCAGTAGTTACTACGGAGGAGGTATGTCGGCCGTTGTCACCCCGATAGCAGACATCAGAGGCTCCGATACCTTGAATTATTCCAAGCAAGAGAGGTTATTGCGCTGTAAACTGGCCTCCACATACCGCCTAGTCGATCTTTTTGGATGGAATACCGGCCTTTATAGTTTCATAACTGTGAGTACTACTAGGATAAGTATTTTAGTGGAATATTTATTTTGTCTCGCGCGCGGACGTTCTGTCACAATAGCTTGTTTTCAATGGCTGCAGACGCAGACGTGACTGCTTTGAATTTAGCTGTTAATTCCTTATTTCTCGAAGGGCTGTGCACAATTCTACGTTTGTTCTGCTGCTAATACTTAGATAAGACATTTTCTGAAGTTGTCGAGGGTTGTTTGTCGCGAATAGCCGCTAGCGTGCTCATAGTAAGAAATTGATTGTAACAATAAGCGTTGTCGGTTTCATCTGCTAGATTCGCCCGTCGGCTGACCAAGAGAGCTTCTTGATTCATCCCTTTGGACTCTTGTACAATGAAGTGACAGCGTCTAGTCTGCTCAAAGTTAATCCCGATGGAAGTGTGGTTGATCAAGGCAGCACCAATCTCGGTGTGAACAAAGCTGGTATGTTGCTCCATTCTGCGATCCATGGAGCAAGGAAGGACGCCAGAGCCATTATCCATCTACACCAAGACGCTATAGTGGCGGTAAGTTTTAAACTACAATTTAGGAAACCAGTTTTGTGACCTGCAACTGTCGTGGTGTTTGCATTGTTTTATGCGCGTTTTTTTCGACAAACTAGTCTTGATTATGATACGTCATGTCGGTATGCGCTGCATATTTTTGCTCTTGTCAATATCCTTGTGCGCAAAATTAGCGTTGTTCATTTTGTCATTTTGTTTCCCGACCTTGTTGAAATGTCCATTGAAGACAGAGCAAAGTTAGTTTTGCTTTTCGCGTGACTTTTTGTGATTTCAGCGGCAGGGGTCTACTGTTTTTGCAGGTAACCGCGTTTTGGATTCGAACGCGCGTCACAAATTGGTGGACTCTATGCAGCATTACTGTAATTCCCATGTTAAAAAAGCCTTATAAACGCCTAAATTCAATGTTCTCTTATCGATAGCAATTTGCCAGCGCTTTATGGCTTTTCTGAAGCGTTTCATGCGGACGAAACCTTGCAATAAAACCGAACATAGGGTTGGTTTGTGGGGAAAGCGAAAACGGTCGCACGTACGAGTACATTTCGCTTTCATCATGTTACCATTAAATAATGGGTTGGATTTCATACGGGCGATACATACACAGAAGCATTCTCTATCGCAATGATATCACTCATGTCTGTGGAACCAAAGGCAAGGAATCAAATGTCGAGTTCGCTTAATAAAAATGAAACTTTAATGATTGGAAAGAATGCTGTTGAATTGAGGCGTTCTGTGGTTGATTATATTGATAACGAATGTTTCACTGGAACTAGCTCGTCACCGTTCTAAATTCTTTATTTAATATTTCACGGTTGGGGCTGTATTGGCTGCAGCACGATCCGTGGATGGGTCAAGTCTGGAGTATTCCTTAAGCTTAATCCCTCTTGTTTACCGTTTAGCACCTGTTCAGGGCTAGACCAGGGGCTTCCTTGATTTGAATAAATCTCCTATTCATGGCTTTGGAAAAGGCTATAAATTAAACATCTACATTGGATGCGAGGTGGGCTTAGCCGAGACCTTCAATAAACAGTTTTCTTATTTCTGTGTTTGTAAATTGTATCCTTTTTTTTAAGTTTATCTTTGCTTTTTTGTCTGTTGTTTAAAAAAATTGGCAAAGTTTCTAGAGATCTTTAGAGGCATGTCTCATTTGTAAGATGGTCAGCTGATTAATATTCTGGAACGTTCTCAAAGTTCTTTTTCATCCTTTAATTTGACACTTGTTTTAGTGTAAATGATGTTAGATTGAAAGTTATTATGCTCAGTTGTTTTAGGTAACAAATTGTCTAAGTACATTAAAGGAAGCCTTCTTTTCAGAGGAATCCTTACTAGCCTTTTATTTATCTTGATATTGCTTTGGTAAGCTCACCAACTCTAGAGAAAGCTCATTTTCCTATTTAAACTTGGATGATAATGTTACTTCAACAGGTTTCTTTAGTCTCATTTGAAAGTTATACACCCTGTTTGTTTTTAAAATGTCAGTGGCAATTATGCTTGCAAACATAAATGCATGTTCTTTGTAGATTGTATGTTCAATTTCTTTGTGGTGTTATGTCTGAAATAGTTTGCTAAGCCAACCTAGAGTAGGGTGTCACCAAATTTGATCTATTTAGTTTTATAAATG